CAAAGTCTGTGTAGCTGAATTATGGAAAATCTGTTATCAAAACCCAAGAAACTTTTAAGAAGTTTAAATTTGCAGGCCTGTGTAATGTAGGTGTAATATATGAATGCTCCAACTTGGTTGAAAGATAATTTTTATTTTATTTTTTTATCTGGAAAGAAAAGGTTTTTTTTTTTTCTAATTTTATTTGCAAAATGTCAAAATTCCTCTATTTTGCTCTCCACAGGTGGCAACAGATTCAGAGGTGTAAAAATTAAATCCTTTCTTTACTTAGTAAATCACCTCACTAATATCGATAAGCATAAACTACATATGTGCTTAAATATACGTTAGTCTTAGTAGCTGTGACTATATATTTTTTGCCATAATTTACAAGTAGTTATCAATACAGCATATTTTTTACTCAATTTCATTTGCTTATATGCAAATAAGTAAGGCAGAACACAAATGTGACACACAAATATGTATCAACCGAACCACCAAGTTGTTAATCTGGTTGATCAAAGATAAGCTAATTGGTATACTCTGAAAACAACCAGTTATCAGACATGAGAAAAGTGCTGAGTGGAAAAATTAATTGGCTTCACTTTAGTTTTTGTAAAGTGTGTAATTTATACGTATAGTTTGTTGCAGACTAATTTTGTTTTTTTCTCTGCATTACATATGTTTTCTTTATGTTATGTTCTACTTTGTAGGATAGAGTAAAAGCATAATGAGTCGTTTCTTCGCTGTATCTGATTCTGAGAGTGAGTCCTCGTCGAGTGAGGAGGAGCAGGTGCAACAAAAAGCACCAGTCATATCATCGTAAGTTATTAATTACCTGATAGGGTGTATAGTCGGTTGGCTTTTGTTAACAATAATTAGTAGTGTGATTCCAAGTAGGATATTGTTCTGCAACCAATGTAATCATTGTTAACAATGTTAGAATTATTTCAGTTTATTTGAATTGTTCCTTTTATTGTTATTGTTAGATACAGTTTTCTTTGTATGTAAATATGTGTACTTCCACATTTTTTATGTGTTTACTTACCATGTAACGATGAATGGTTGTTTTAAAGTGGAATACATATTGGTTTTCATTATTTCTGAGTTTTCATGATATTAACAGAAGAATTCTGATGGACTGGTTTGTAAATACGGTGTTGGGTTTTTAAGGGTTCTAGAATATTTACGAGATGTCTCATAAGCTGGATGATTTGTAATTACTGATAAAACATTTAATTTCTACAGATAATGTTTTGTGTTACTTTGTGCTTTTTTTGTATAGAGCTTTTACTTTTAGTGACGATGAAGAAGAAACAAAACGAGTCGTTCGCAGTGCTAGAGAAAAGAGGTGAGTCTGTTTTATGTGTTAGTTAAATGCTCAAATTTATCAACATATTGGAGAATTAATAGTTACTGTAAATTCTGAATTCAGTAATCGTTTAGTAAACATTACAGCCAGTATGTTGTTTACAAAAATTTAGATAAATTATTTTACTAAATATTTGTCTCTGAATTTACTTTAGCCAGTCTGACTCGTACTCTGACTAGTCTGAATGCAAGTTGATTTTTGTGTTGGAATAAAAATGTTTTTCATCTTATAATTTTTCATATTTTTTTTTATTTACATAATTTGTAGGAACTCCTAAAATAATATCAAAAGTTTTTTCAGTAAAACTTTATATTTTATGTGGTATTTTCTCTATCCTGACACGATACAAACTCAATCCATTTCACCATCCTTGCGACCACCTCATAAAATATGAAATAAATCTAAATTACCCTTTTTTTTTTTTCATTCTAGAATGATTGCAGATTGTAATAAAAAATTACAATTATTTATCCTAGATGATAAAAACCCGAGCGCTTCTCTTTTTAAAATTAAGAAATTAAAACTTATGTAATATTAAGATTTGATTTATTAATGACATTTTCATACCAAATGTTTTGGTATAAATTGATGATGACAAATTTGTCTAATTAAATATTGAATGTAACATTGTAAAACTTTATGACATGCACAGTTGTGATGATACAGAAATGTCTGTGGTTAACATTGAGGGAAGAATGAGGCTTATTTTATTTGTTAAAAGATACTGTTGTCCAGCAGTGTAGAAACATCAGATTTATTTCTAATGAGAGATCTTAAAAAACTTGTGCAGGTATGAAGAACTTACAGATATAATTAAGCAACTTAGAAACCACAAGAAGATCAAGGATTTCACAAAGATGCTCACAGGTAAGATTCCTTTCACTATTACTATCCATAAATATGTTTGGCTTAATCTTAGGAATGTGTAGGAGTTCTTTCAGAATGACTGGCAATGGATGAAAATTGCTGGCTACTATGACAACCACCAGATAATCTTATTGTAGAATGCTGTAGTACAGTCCTGGTGATGGATGAAAATCACTGGCTACTATGACAACCACCAGTTAAGCTTGTTGTAGAATGCTGTAGTACAGTCCTGGTGATGGATGAAAATCGCTGGCTACTATGACAACCACCAGATAATCTTATTGTAGAATGTTGTAGTTCAGTCCTGGCGATGGGTGAAAATCGCTGGCTACTATGACAACCACCAGATAAGCTTGTTGTAGAATGCTGTAGTACAGTGCTGGTGATGGATGAAAATCGCTGGCTACTATGATAACCACCAGATAATCTTATTGTAGAATGCTGTAGTACAGTGCTGGTGATGGATGAAAATCGCTGGCAACTATGACAACCAACAGTTAAGCTTGTTGTAGAATGATGTAGTACAGTGCTGGCGATGGATGAAAATCGCTGGCTACTATGATAACCACCAGATAATTTTATTGTAGAATGTTGTAGTACAGTCCTGGCGATGGGTGAAAATCGCTGGCTACTATGACAACCACCAGATAAGCTTGTTGTAGAATGCTGTGGTACAGTGCTGGGGATGGGTGAAAATTGCTGGCTACTATGATAATCACCAGTTAAGCTTGTTGTAGAATGATGTAGTACAGTCCTGGCGATGGGTGAAAATTGCTGGCTACTGTGATAACCACCAGATAATCTTATTGTAGAATGCTGTAGTACAGTGCTGGTGATGGATGAAAATCGCTGGCTACTATGATAACCACCAGATAATCTTATTTTAATCTTAGTTTTTTAGCTTTTTATTGATTTTAACTTTATAAAATTGTGGCATATAGTATTCTATAAGAGGTATACAATCTTGAAGTATAGTATTCTGTAAGAGGTATACAATCTTGAGATATAGTATTCTTTAAGAGGTATAAAATCTTGGGATATTGTATTCTGTAAGAGGTATAAAATCTTGGGATATTGTATTCTGTAAGAGGTATACAATCTTGAAGTATAGTATTCTGTAAGAGGTATACAATCTTGAAGTATAGTATTCTGTAATGTAGAATAGATCCTTACACATTTAATGGTTATCTGTTAACATCTATGTATTTGTATTATTCACAGGTTTTGAGAGCCTGACTAAAGCATTTCAGAAGGCGAGACCCGTAATAGATAAGGAGGAAGACGGTATCACTCCAAAATTTTATATTCGTTGCTTAGTGGAGATTGAAGATTTTATATGTGAAGTAAGTAACTATTATTTAATGTTTTAAAAAAAAACAATCACTAAAAAATGTGAATAATTATGTGGATGTTCATAATTACCATTATTGCATAAATGTATATAATAATATTTCCACCTTATTGTCGTTCTTGTTGGAATTACCATTCTAACAAGAGCATTACCAGCTCGTGTAATTCACTTTCTATATGTATGTATATTTTGTTTGACTTGCATGATATTTGACTAGAATAGCATTATAATTAAAAAATATAAGCTTATAGTGATAAAAATACTGGTGCCATCTAGTGTTTATTCAGTAAATTAATATTCTCTTAATTTTTAATATTATGAGTATAAATAGTTTAATAAAAATTTTGTGAAAACTGTGTATTTATTTTTGTGTTATTATTAATTAACATTACAAAATTTGGTGCTCGTTGTTATTTTAGATGTTTACTTTGCTCTGTAATAAGTTGTTTTGGGTTATGTTGTGAAAGAAAAAATTAAGTTTTAGCCACCTTTAAAAAAAAGGACATCTTTGTCGGTATTTCTCAAATATTGACCTATTTTGTAGAAACATCTCTTGAAGATTTTGAGTAAAATGGTAACCAGTGCTTTTTCCATATTTTAAAATTATTGTTTCTGTTAAGCCTACTTTTAAAATTATTGTTTCTGTTAAGCCTACTTTTAAGTGATGTTTATAATTTGTGTCTCACTATATTCTAGTGTACTATGTTTTTTATTTCTTTTTTGATCGTTTACAGTGTTGGGAAGATCGTGATGGAAGAAAAAACATGTCCAAAAACAACTCTAAATCGCTCGCCACTTTACGACAGAAGCTAAGAAAATATAACAAGGACTTCGATACTGAATTAGCGACCTATAGAGAAAATCCTGAAGTTGAGGAAGAAAAAGATGAACAAGAAGAATCTGGTAAACATTCATGAAATAAAACATAATCATTGAACCTAAGTGTACGTAACTTATGTTTTAGTGAAATGTTTTAGATTATTCTAACTAAACTAATTTATACTATTTAACTGAATTTTCAGCAGTCTTAAAGATAAGTTATGTATGAAGGGATATACTTGTTTATAACATGGGCCAACCATGGTCCAGTGGTTAGTGTACTAGACCACGAATCTTCAGGTCCATTGTTCGCATCTCATTACCACAACAAAAATTATACTCCTCACTTTGAGTCTGTGGGTACATTAAAAAGTGGCAGGCCATTCCAAGAGTTGGCAGTGAGTACCGTTGACTATCTGCCCTCCCGCTAGTCTCTCGGTTCAAAGTTGGAGACATCTAGCATAGATGTAATGAATATGAGAAAGGAAAAAAACTTTTCCCATCTGTACACAAAGGTAGTTTGCCACTAGATGTTGCAAGCAATGTTGTTTTAAAAGTGTCTAAAGTAATATTTGTGTGATTGACTTGAAATATATTGCACAGAATGAAAGGTTGTATGGCAGTTACAGTTGAAAGAGTCGTAGTTGTATACTAAGACACACTAGCTGAGAAATTCCTTTTTTATTCATTTTGTTGTTGTTTTTTTAAACAGAGTCTGATGATGATGATGAGGCAGAAGATTTTCTTAAGAAACCAGCAGCTTCTGAATTCAAGGAAGAACCTAAATCGAAGTTCATTGCTGGATCAGATGATGAGGAGGTAAGTAGACCAAAAAATATTTTTTGGGTGTGTGTGTGTGTGTAAACATACTTCTGTCTGATGTTTAAAACTTGTAATAGTGTAGAAGTGTACCTTTGCGGTAATAAGGTGAAGCTCATAAACATTTATTAAAAACCAGTTATACTAACTTTTGATTAAAAATTTGAGACCAGGCTTTAAAATATTTTTATTTGTTGTAATCCTAAACTGATTTAAAATGTAAGTAGCTGAGTAATTGTTTTTTTTTTAAATTGCGTGGCAAAAAAGAAATTCGAAAGTACCACTAGTTCCTAAAACAAAATACATTAAACCATGAATATATGGATTCGCGGAATACGAATGCGACACTTCCAACATACAAGTAGTTAAGAGGATGTCAGTGTATCGAAAGTTTTTATCAAATGCTTTTGCAACACACGCTTGCCGATCAATATCCGGAAGTTTTTCTGACAGCAGAAATGAAACCATGTGGACAAGGTTTCTCTTCTTCCCAAACTCTTTTTAATTATGGAAAACATTGTGGACAAGCTTTGCTGCCAAATGCATAAGTACTTTTCATTTAAATGCAGAATCAAGATTAGAGAAATCTGGGTGATACTATCATCGCAGCAGACGCTGAATCTCAAAATGGCAAGATCCAAATTAATTAAAAAATGTCCCTCAGTTAAGAAAATGTTCAATTATGTTAATAAAAATCATTAATTACATAGTAGTGTCTAATTACTAGTTACACTGCTACCAATAATCACACAATAAAGATGATTCATTATGTGTGTGTGTTTTAGCATCCATCACCCAAGGTTGGCTGGCTCGGTTGCTGTAATTTTTTTTATGGTAACTGGAAACTGTCTGATTGTGTACATGGGCTATTTTGTTTTAGGATTTTTGACCGAGAAAGGGGATAAAGAAATAGGACATATTTCCACTTTCTTTTTTATAGTCTCTTAGCTTTGAATGTAAAGACACAATTACATAATCTGTTAAATGAATCAATTATTACCTTCCACAAAGCAGGATGTGCAATTAGCATTTAATGAGGCCATGAGGGATTTAATAAAAAAAGAAAGAAAGAAAGGGGAGCATTATCCTTTTTATCCTTTGTGGTTTGTTAACAGCCATCCTCAGCTGATTGGTTAATAATCAATCATCAGTTAACTCTACCTAACCAATCATTAAACAATAATTGATCATCAGTTAACTATACCTAACCAATCATTAAACAATAATCAATCATTGGTTGACTATACCTAACCAATCATTAAACAATAATCGATCATCAGTTAACTATACCTAACCAATCATTAAACAATAATCGATCATCAGTTAGCTATGCCTAACCAATCATTAAACAATAATCGATCATCAGTTAGCTATGCCAAAACAATCATTAAACGTGATTGTATAACCAATTACCACCATTAATAATATGAACTTATGAATTATTTTACTCGTTGAATACTTCTTTTTTTTTCTAAATTTTAATATTAATTACACTTAAAAATGATTGTTACTTTACAGGAATCAGATGATGATTCTTTTGACTGGGGAGGTTCTTCTGAAAGTGAAAGTTCACTTTCCAGTGATGATGAAAAATATGGAGGAAACCTGGCAGCAAAGTTTCTGAAAAAGTATGTTTTTTTATGTTGTAATCTAGAAGTCCTGTAATTGGGGAGGGATGTTTCGATTAGTAACTTTTTTTTTCATGTTTCAACTTGTTAAGTATCCTGTTTTTTTTACCTTTGTAGAAATAAGAAGTTTGGTAAATTATAATGTAATGTTATTCCTCCAGAAGTATTTTTAGAAGAACAGGTTAAACCTGAATTGTATTATTGTTTTTAAAATCTGTTTGTTAATTTTTGTATTACTGACATACCTTATATAGCTGGAAAATTAATAGAGATATAAGTAACTTAATGAATATTTCTTACTTGTAGAACAACAGACAAAGATGAACAGAAAGAAAAGAAGCGAGAGAAGAAAAGAGATAAAGAGAAAAAAGAGAAGAAGAAAGATGACGGAGAAGGTGAATGGGAAGAGGTTAAAGGTGGTGTTCCTTTAATCGAGGTATTAATCAGATATTTTTTATTGTACCAATTCTGATTTTCAGATATTAAGTTTGTTTCTTAAGCCTAAAGGGCTGTCTGTTTATAATGACACACATT